CTTCGAATTTTGGCTTGCGGTTCTGTAGCAGAATCTGAATTTCTTTTTCCACACCTGCTAAACAAACACCCTCTGGCTCGATGGCTATGCAAATATAACAGGTTGACAGGCAGACAGGACATCCTATCATTGCATTCGGACCGAGCAACACCCAGGAGAGAGAAACCAACAGGAGTGTACAAAGTTCTACAGAAAATCTGTGAAAATGTAATACTACTTAATTAATTAATTAATTAATTCACCAAATGCTCCAGTATATGACACATTATCATATTTGTTTCAATTAAAGAAAGTCATTATTTTATTATTACTACTTGTAATATACTTGTAATAAAATATAATATTAGAGCATAACACGATACACACTATTCGTCGCTCATCGTTCAGTAAAAGAATCGGATGATGCCCTTGAAATAAACTACGCATTTGTTAACATTTATTGCATTTAATATAAAGCTGGATGAACATAGCAAAGTGATTTTTCACATTAGAAATGAATTTGACAAAATAACCTCCATTACCACCTACTCCTAAAACAACATTCCCCCCTTGTCATGTGCAAGCATTTATATATTATCTGTATTTGTCAGTTGCATGTAACCAGCTGACTGCACATTGTATAACTTAAACTCTTTGACACAAAAATTGTGCATTATGTAATCTAAGATGTGGTTTGTGCATAATGACTAGGCCCAGGCTTTACCTGTTTTGCAGTGTGACGGGGGCATTGACTTGCATGAAAATTGCAGGCTGATTGGGAGATGCTTGCAGGGAAGGTACTGCATGTTGCTGAAGGAGGTTCTAATAAACATTTGTATTCACCCTGCCATGTATCTGTATAAGAGGCCCAACTCTGCTGCAGAAAACAACCCCCAAACCATGACACTTCCTCCTCCACCTTTCACTGACTTCTCTACGCACTCGGGGGTTCAGTGTTTCCCCAGTTTGACACAGAACATAGTGTTTTCCATCAGACCCAAATAAATTAAATTTGCTCTCATCCAGTTCTCCTCTTTCCACATAACATGCTCCTCAGTAAAGGTGAGTCTAGCCTTTTGATTCTTTCTGCTGATGAGAGGCTTCATCAATGCAGTGTGTGCTTTCAGTCCGACTTCTCTTAAACCTGCAGAGACAGATCTTTACCCTGTTCAGCTCTGAACTCTGAACTCTGAACAGACTTTCAAGTCCCTGCGTAGTGTGAATGAACTTCAGCACAACTACGGCAAGAGGATGGAGGAACCAGGAGCAGTACAAATATCGAGGTCGTAGAACCTGACGAACGTGAGCGGCATAGACCAACCCACAGCGTTACATATACCCTGCATAGCCACACACGACAGGAAGGCCTTGGAGGCAGCCACACTTTGGGTGGAGTGAGCCTTGACCCCCAAGGGCGAGGGAAGACCAGAGGACTCGTAAGATATAGCAATGGCATCAACGATCCACTGACTGAGGGTCTGCTTAGTGGCAGGAAGACCCCTCTTGGAAGGACCATAACAGACAAATAACTGGTCAGACTTCCTCCACGTGGCAGCTCTGTGGACATATGTGTCCTGTGCTCGCAATTTAGCTTGCAATTTAGCTTCTGCTGATCAGTCTCCCGAATGGGAGAAGGACAGAAAGCCTGAAGTACGACGGGCCGTGGTACTGAGGTAGGCACTTTAGGGACGTACCCTAGCCCAGGGTACAGAAAAGCTTTGGCCAAGCCGGGCACAAAGTCTAGGAAGGAGGGGGCCACTGACAAGGCCTGCAAATCTCAGACTCTTTTCAGAGAAGTGATAGCTAATAAGAAGACTGTCTTAAGTGTCAGAACTCAATCTGAAACCTCCTCTAATGGTTCAAACGGAGGTTTACAGAGAGCCTCCTAAGGGAAATCAGGTCCGAGAACCATACTCGGCCCGGCCAGAACGGTGCAACTAGCAGCAGACGGACCCCGTCCCGGCGCACTCTCTCCAGAACTCCCGGGAGTAGAGCAATCGGGGGAAAGGCGTACAGACGAAGCCTCGGCAACGTCTGTACAATGGCATCCAGCTAAAGTGGAGCTGGATGAGTCAGAGAGAACCAGAGGGGACAGTGCGATGTCTCCTGAGTCACAAACAAGTCCACCTGAGCCTGGCCAAACATTCTCCAAATCTGACACACCACTTCTAGGTGGAGCCTCCATTCCTCTGCCTCCATGCCCCTGTCTCGACAGGTTGTCTGCTCCCTGATTGAGATGCCCAGGGATGTGAACTGCTCTTAGTGAAAGGAGTTTCCCTTGGGCCCACACAAGGATCTGGTGCGCCAGCTTGTACAAGGGGCGCAAACGCAGACCTCCGTGGTGGTTGGTGTATGAGACCACCGATGTGTTGTTGGTGCACACCAACACATGGCGATCTCTTAGGTCTGGGAGAAAGTGCTTCAATGCTCGAAATACGGCCAGCATCTCCAGGCAGTTGATGTGCCACAAGAGATGGGTGGTCACTCATGACCGCACCCCAACCGGTGAGGAACGCATCTGTCATTAATGTTACGCGACGACAAGGAACTCCCAGCACTGGCCCCTGTGACAAGAACCAAGGTTTCCTCCACATGTCTAAGGCACGAACGCATTGCCGCGTGACCTTGATCATGCGAAGCAGATTTCCTCTCGAGGAAAACCCCTTGGTCTTGAGCCACCACTGTAGGGGTCTCATGTACAGCAGGCCAAAAGGTATCACGTTGGACGCAGCTGGCATCAGACCCAGCCATTTTTGAAACTGATTAACAGTGAGTGTCTGGCCCTCTTTGACTCTCGCGACTGCAGTGAGGATCGACTCGATCCGAGCAGGAGACAGCTGTGCCTGCATCGTGGTCGAATCCCACATTACGCCCAGATAAGTGGTCCTCTGTGATGGAGAAAGCACACTTTTCTTTGCGTTTAGTCTTAACCCCAACTCTTTCATATGGGCGAGAACGAAATCTCGATGTCGAACCACTGTCCGCTCCGATTGAGCTAGATTCAACAAATCGTCGATATAATTTAGTATGGGGATGCCCTGGAGTCACAGTGGAGCCAGAGCAGCATCAACACACTTCGTGAAAGTTCGGGGTGAGAGTGCAAGGCTGAACAGAAGAACCCAATATTGGTAAGCTTCGCCCCCGAAAGCAAACCTCAGGAACTTCCTGTGTTGAGGAAGGATGGAGACATGGAAGTACGCGTCTTTTAGATCTATCGTGACAAACCAGTCCTCGGACCTGATCTGAGACACGACCTGATTGTAAGCATCTTGAACTTCAGTTGCATGACGGTTCAACTGACGCAGATCTAAAAACGGGCACAACCCCCCATTTTTCTTCGGAACAATGAAGTACCGGCTGTAGAACCCGGATTCTGTCACCTCGATGGCCTCCTTCCTCAGAAGAGTATTTACTTCTTGTTCTAACACAAGAGCCTGCTCGGGACCCACCACAGTGGAAACGATCCCGTTGAAACGAGGTGGAGGAGAACCAAACTGAATTCTGTAACCTCTTTCTACCGTCTGCAGGACCCATCTTGAGATATTTGGCAGAAGCTTCCACGCTGCCAGAAAATCTACTAAGGGAATAAGTCTCTCGAGACTGACCTCCGGTGTAATAGGAGACCTCCTCAGAGGTAGCGAGCTTCCCAGATCCGCAATGTTTCCTGGCGGACACTGAGACGTGCGCTCGCTGAAGGCCGCTGTGCCCTGAAGCACCGGCGGAGGCAGTTGAGTGTTTGTTCAACCGGGGCATCGCTCTATAACCATGCTCACTTAGTCCCGTAACGTTGCTGTAATCAATGAGTGAGGGACTAAAGAGGCAGGCCGAATATGGTCTCGACCACGATCTCGACACCTCAGTGTGGAGATCGGGGAAAAATGGCAAGCCCCGGCATGCATAATGAAATGCCCCTAAAATGTTGATTGCCTTTATCACCCCCTTTATCAGTCTTGTGCTTAGACTTTAGCAATTTAGCTTTCTCGTTTGAGACAGTGACAGACAACGGTAAATAAGACATACACACACAGAGCGCTTCGCTGAATGACAGAATCTGCCGCTGTCTCCACCGCACGTGCTTTTATAGCTTTCTGGTCACACGTCACCCCGTCTGTGACGTCGCGTCCATCCATTGGTCTGATTACACACACGATTCAGAGCGTGGTCAAGCTGAAGGCGTTCCCAAAGCGTTCGACGCAGCTCGAGTTCCTGAAGGAGAACTATATACAGTTGCGTTAAATTACATTTACATTTATTCATTTGGCAGACAATTTTATCCAAAGCGACTTACAGTTGAGGAATACAACAAGCGATTTTATCATAAGATGGCAATAAACACGAGAAGGGCCCGTTATACAAGGTTTCAGTCATTGTCCAAAATAGTAAAAGCTGGGACAGGAAGGGATAAAGGATAATAAGAGAATAGAAATGGTGAAGGCATATTTTTTTTTATGAGGAGGCAGTTAGATGCTCACGGAAGAGAGGAGTTTTCATTTGTTTCTTGAAGATTGTGAGGGATTCGGATTAGAATGACAGAAGAATTTACAGAATTGTAATGAAATAAAATTCAATATAGAAAGGAAGTATTCTTCCACCCTGGTTCACAAAAGTTAATGTATTCTATATTTTACAATATATAAACTAAATAAAAATATTTAGGTAGCATTTTAAATCTGTTTGCCACCAGTTCAAATTAAGGAATTATGGAATAGAATAGGAATTCAAAAGACATGCTCAATTCAAATTTAAATGACACACATCCCTGGTATCTTCAAAGCTGATAAGATATAGTGCTGTGCCACTTTTTGATACGTATGATTGAAAAAAAACTCATTAAATTAATTTAAATGTAAAAAGCTGTGCAAAGGCAGGTTTTGGTACAACTGTACATGGTCTATAGGTCTGTACTGTATGAATGCAGAGAATTATCATTATTAATTTATACAAGCAGATGAAAATATAATTTATATCATACATCATAAATACAGAAAGGCATTAAAAAAATGTTATAAAAAGCTTGCCTGTACATTCTTATGAGTTTTCTATTGTAGTCTTAATTTTGGCTCTTGTTTTGGAACGTGTGTTGACTTCTGACGTCGACGGTGTTGGGGGTGCAGCAGTATGCAGCTCAAATGGGGGATCATGTGAATTTTCCTCTTTTACTTCCTCGTCCTCACATTCGTCCATCTCTGTCTGATGTTTTTTGCAGTGTTTCTCAAAAGTGGACAACTTCACAAAGATTTTGTTGCACACCTTGCAATGGAAGAGCTGCTCTTCGTTTTGTAAGTGCAGTTTCAGCTGCAGATAAGAGGAATGAGCGAAGGCCCCTGAGCACACGCTACAACAGAGTATCCTGCTGCCCTGGTGGCTTTTCTCGTGTTGTTTTAGCATGGACACTGAACTGAAGCCCTTGTGGCACGTGGCACATATGTACCTGCCCTCGCCCAGCTCCAAAGCCTGATGGTTAAGCAGGTGGGATGACGTGCGGAAGGCCTTACCACACTTGTCACACTTAAAAGGGCACTCACCTGTGTGCAAGCACAAGTGTATAATAAGTCCGGCCTTTTGCGTAAAAGCCCTTTCACATAATGTACATTTGAAGAGTTTTTCACCAGTGTGGAGCCTTCGATGGGTTTTTAGGTGTGAGGCACGGCCAAAGCATTTATTGCAATCTGGGCATTTGAAGGGTTTCTCACCAGTGTGGATGGTCTTGTGGCGCATAAATTGGGGTGACTGCATGAACATTTTGGAACATACACTGCATTTGTACTTCCTCTCTCCAGTGTGTGAGCGCAGGTGCAGTGCAAGGTGGGCCAACGAGATGAAGGTCTTGGAGCAAAGCCGGCAGGTATGAGGCTTCTCCCCAGCACGGGTGCGTTTATGTAGAACCAGACGAGAAGAAAGAGTAAAAGACTTGTCACAGTAGAGGCATTTGTAGGGCTTGTCTTCAGTATGCACTTGCTGGTGCTTAGTGAGCATGGATATCTGGGCAAAAGACTTGTCACAAAGGCCACAAGGGTGGGATCGAGGCTTGGAAGAGTGAGACATCTTGGATGACTCAGAGCTGAACAAAAATCATCACACCTAATGACAAAAACATTAACAAATCATTTAGTTTAGATCGCTTAAACACTGTAAAAAAAATCTAAGTTGAATAAAAACAAAGACTATAGGAGTTTTTTTTTTTTTTTTACCAAATAAATCTATTGTAGTCCTCCCACTTTCTAATTTCACATTTAATGTGTTACTTGCCAATTCTTCATAATTATTTGTGAAATTTTTAATTTCAGTGTACAGTGACTTCAACATTTATTACAGGTGAAATTCAAGGTCATTATTGAGTGGTAGTCCTTCTCAAGAAGCAAGGAAGGATAAATGTCCACAAACGTATTCTAAATAAACATAAAAACAATGGAATATGGATGTTTTGATCAATTATTTACTAATGTATGCAACTCAGATACATACAATGTATAAGAAACGGAATGCAATATTTCATTTGTTTCTGTTAAAATGCAGCTGGAAAAGGCTTAACAAATTATAGAACTATAATATAACTACACTGAACAAAATTATAAAGGCAACACTTTTGTTTCTGCCCCCATTTTTCATGAGCTGAACTGAAAGATCTAAAACTTTTTCTATGTACACTAAAGGCCTATTTCTCTCAAATATTGTTCACAAATCTGTCTAAATCTGTGTTAGTGAGCACTTCTCCTTTGCCGAGATAATCCATCCACCTCACAGGTGTGGCATATCAAGATGCTGATTAGACAGCATGATTATTGCACAGGTGTGCCTTAGGCTGGCCACAATAAAAGGCCACTCTAAAATGTGCAGTTTTACTGTATTGGGGGGTCCGAAAACCAGTCAGTATCTGGTGTGACCACCATTGGCCTCACGCAGTGCAACACATCTCCGTCGCATAAAGTTGATCAGGTTGTTGATTGTGGCCTGTGGAATGTTGGTCCACTCCTCTTAAATGGCTGTGCGAAGTTGCTGGATATCGGCAAGAACTGGAAAACGCTGTCATATACGCCGATCCAGAGCATCCCAAACATGCTCAATGGGTGACATGTCCGGTGAGTATGCTGGCCATGCAAGAACTGGGATGTTTTCAGCTTCCAGGAATTGTGTACAGATCCTTGCAACATGGGGCCGTGCATTATCATGCTGCAACATGAGGTGATGGTCGTGGATGAATGGCACAACAATGGGCCTCAGGATCTCGTCACGGTATCTCTGTGCATTCAAAATGCCATCAATAAAATGCACCTGTGTTCGTTGTCCATAACATACGCCTGCCCATACCATAACCCCACCGCCACCATGGGCCACTCGATCCACAACGTTGACATCAGCAAACCGCTCACCCACACGACGCCATACACGCTGTCTGCCATCTGCCCTGTACAGTGAAAACCGGGATTCATCCGTGAAGAGAACACCTCTCCAAAGTGCCAGACGCCATCGAATGTGAGCATTTGCCCACTCAAGTCGGTTACGACGACGAACTGCAGTCAGGTCGAGACCCCGATGAGGACGACGAGCATGCAGATGAGCTTCCCTGAGACGGTTTCTGACAGTTTGTGCAGAAATTCTTTGGTTATGCAAACCGATTGTTGCAGCAGCTGTCCGGGTGGCTGGTCTCAGACGATCTTGGAGGTGAAGATGCTGGATGTGGAGGTCCTGGGCTGGTGTGGTTACACGTGGTCTGCGGTTGTGAGGCCGGTTGGATGTACTGCCAAATTCTCTGAAACGCCTTTGGAGACAGCTTATGGTAGAGAAATGAACATTAAATTCACGGGCAACAGCTCTGGTGGACATTCCTGCAGTCAGCATGCCAATTGCTTTCAGACGAATCCAGTCGGAGTTATATTAAAAATCGTCTTTGATCTTTCAAGCTGTTTCGTGGCACTCAGCGGGTGTTGCATTGCTTCAGTCCAAAATAACTTAAATAAAAATCGCCCATCCATAAAAATAAAAAAAAGTGTCTCACACGGCTCTGGGGGGTGAACAAAGGCCTTATGTAGTGAATCAATGCGTTTTTGTAAGAAAAATATCCATATTCAAAACATAATAATCACTTGAATCTAGCTTGCTCTCACTGTTGTAAACAGAAGCAGTTGTTCCACGAGAACATCCTCAGTGATTGTTTGCTGTTGTTTGAACATATTTTGGTTGTTTGATGACAGTGACGGTCCTCGAGCCAATTTTCCAGGAAGAAGATGTGTAAAATATAAATCAAACCCGCTGTACTCAGCAATATAAAGCTATAGTATGTTTTATAAAGCAGTTATCATGATCTGATTGTGCTAGATGAAAGCACTAGCTTAAAATATACATGCATAATTAATGCATTATAATCTGAGTGTGATATACTGTACAGGACACAAATACACAATAAGAAATTACAATGCCTGCTACAGATTGGCCAATACAAACATTTCCAGGAAGTTTTTATTGTCCAGTTTTACAAACCCTTCCAGGAACCTATGTTTTTATTGGCCAGTCTGTAGCGGGCATTGTGTAATTCCTTATTGTGCATGTACAGTACACACTATAACGCGTTAATTATATGTGTAGCCAATATTGTAAGCTAGTGCTTTCATCTAGCAAAACCAGATCATGATAACAGCTTTAAAAAGCATACTATAACTTTATATTGCTGAGTACAGCAGGTTTGATTTATATTTTCTCCTTCCTGGAAAATTGTCTCGAGGACCGTCACTGTCATCAAAAAAACTAAAATATGTCAAAACAACAGCAAACAATCACAGCTGAGGATGTTCTCGTGGTTATCTAACTGGGCGTGGTATATATATATATATATATATATATATATATATATATATATAACAAGACAAGCAAAAATGAATGTGACCCAAGGGTGAGTTAAAAAGTAGAAACATTTTGAGGACAGCTAAGACAGATTTCCTCATGTCCTGCGTTCACCCCGTTCGTGATTACGCAACATCCAAGAGCAATTGCAAACATGCAAACTCACCCCTTTGATCACCGTTTCCTCCAAAAACATAACTTAAGTTTTTATTAATATCTCTTAGTTCGCTACATTATTCACTGCATATAGATACTCGCGTCAGACTGTCCGTGTGGTTCTAGATGGCGACATGTAATGCATTTCAGGTTTTTGCGAAAATCACACGAACTGACAGCGATGTTATCACTGGTACTGTAAACAAACGGAAATCAGTTTCTCGCCTTCGTGGAAGCCATAGAGTAGCCTAAGCAGCCTGTCATGCTATCAAAATAAAAGTTGTATAATGGCAAGAACATTACAATTCTGTTTACTTATGCCTTAATAAATAGGGTAAATACAGATTTCAGCAAAATTACTCTCATTAATTTTATTTTTGCCACCGTAAATCATAATACATTAAGAATTTAAAGACTTTCATCATTCTGTTTGTTTGTTTATTTATTTATTTATTTATTGTATAGTAGGCCTATAGTAGCCTAGACCTGTTAATATGATTATTATTATTATTATTATTATTATTATTTATGTTCAGGTGTTTTCTCTTTCGATTCTAGTCAGGTATCATCATCATCGCCATACTGACATTTATGTGGTGCTCGTTTAACTGAAAATATTTAACGTTTTTAAATGCTTGATTATCTGCTGCATTAAAAGGAGCTGATCTTGAGAATAACTGACATTGATTAAAAATACAAAGTGCCGTAAAGGCGCACGCAACATAATATTTTTGTTTTCAAGTAACCTATTCCTGAGAGCTTTGTACATTCGGAGATACTCTGCGTGAAAACAGTTATTTTCCGGAGTCATTCATTGAACTTAGCGTGAAGGAGCAGGGTAAGTTTCATTTTCGCAAAACAGGCTCTTTCCAGAGAACGGAAACCTAGAGGATTCTCAAGGTTTCCATTCTCTGGAAAGAGCCTGTTTTGCGTGTGCCAATTCGAATTGTGCGCACTGAGAGGGTTTAACTGTGTCCTCCTGATCGCTTTGCTTTCATTCTGCGGGTACGAGTGGAAGCATCATCATGACCCATAAGGACCATTAAAGGTAGGAGAAAACCTCATGCAGAAGTTACATGAGTTTTTGAAATGCAATTTTTAGTTATATTAATATTTAGTAATAGGCTATAGTATTAAACTAATATAACATAACAATATAGCCTAGATCTTTTCTATTTTGGCTGATGCAAGGCATAAGCAAACAACTTCTGAACGTTTATACTACTTCCATTTATTGAGTTCCTTTCATACCAGTTTAGAGGTTTGGCTTGCAGTTCTGCAAAATGTGGTTTTATTATATTTTAATTGTATTACATTTTTATTTATTTATTTATTCATTCATTCATTTAGCATCTGATACGCTACTTTAGGTAACACGTGTGTTTTCATATAGGCTAGTCCACAAGTGATTTTATATCGTCTTCTGGGAAACAAATATCTTAATTTATATGTCTTAAAAAAATACCTATAAAGAAAATATACGATGAAATATGCAACGATTGCAAATGAAGATATTTTGAAGAATGTTATTAACCACACAGTTGATGGTAGTTATTGACTTGGTATGGAAAAAAAAAAATACTATGGAAGTCAATGGCTAACTGTTTGGTTACCAACATTCTTCAAAATATCTTCTTTTATGTTCAGCAGAAGAAAGAAACTCATGCAGGTTTGGAACAACTTGAGGGTAAGTAAATGACAAAATTTTCATTTTTGGGTTAACTATACCTTTACCACAGGTGAATAAATAACATATATAATGTAACTTTAAGCAGAGAAAAAGAGACAATGTAACTAGCAGTTTATACTATTTTTTTTTTTACTCCTCTTCAACTCAAATTTAACTCCTAGCTAAATTTGAAACGATAAGAAAGGAAGAAATATATTGTTATGGATCTGCAAGAGAGAGGACCCGGATTGAGTAGTGATGGCGTTTTATTGATAAGAGTGTACACAGAGCACAACAAGGAGAGTGAGGTGTGAAACAGTGCAAACAGTATAGGGAAGGGCAGACGACAGGCAGGGAGGGTGACCACTGAGACCAGTCTGACAACAGGCTTGAGGGCTGTGGAGGAAGAGGGAGTACCAAGCGGGATAATGGCGGGGAAGACCATGCAGAAACCATAAGCTTGATTTCTCAGATGTAGAACCAGTCTTGCTTCTAGGTGGAGGCTCACAGAGCCAGAGGCTTGACACTTAAGTATATCAGACAGATACACCAGTCATGCTGCCAGGCAGTGAGAGTCAGTGGCCAGGAAACATCAGGATACAGGGCGGGGCAGGAATGAACACAAGACTCACAATGAACAACACAAGAAGCAAGCAGCGTTGCCAAACCCCTCCCTCAGAAAATCTCTAGAACCACCCTCAAAAGTCTCAATTTTTCACAAAAAGTCGCCAAATATGAAAACAAAGTAAATACAGGTAAATTTGGTAAAGTAAATATATATATATACTTTACAAATGATAACAGTATAAAAATTTAAATATAGCTAAAATAGCTCCTTGTCGCAAAAAAAAAAAAAAAAAAAGTTGCAGCTACAACGAGAAAGTAGCTAAATTTGGCGACAAAATCCCCAAATTGGCAACACTGGACGCAAGGTGTTGACACAAGGCATGACACAAGAGAGAAAATAATAAATTAAACAAGAGGCAAAATAAAACCTGATGTAAAAAACTATGACTAGAGAAACAAAACAAATGAAAAATAAAACTAGGAATAAATACCTGAAACTTGCAAAAAAAAAAATTTCAAATTGCATGGAATAGTGATATCTGATTCTTGAACGAATAGTTCTTTTGAGCTGGTTCTCAGGGAAGTAACCGGTTGAGTGGGTTCACAAAATGGAACTGAATAGAACTTTTTTTTAATGCAAATTGTACAACACAAGACAGGGAACAAATTAATTGAACTTTATTTCCGAGTTGTCGAAACAAGACACACAGCTGAAGTAGCATGTCTGACTCAAAAATAAAATAATAAGCAGGTTCAGGATCTAAGGAGGATTACTAAGGAGTCCGATAAGTGATTTAACAATACTATGCAAGCCGGAGGCATGTACTGGACACATACTGTTATTAAATAACATTTTATTAAAACCTGCAAGAAATTTTCTTATATAATATAAATACATTTTACTATAGTTTATTGTGCATGTAGATTATAAGTTAAATCAAGGAGTTTATAAGACTGATTTATTCTTTTTGATATACTTTAGACATGTACGCTAGAACATAACTGTGTTATATATAATAGGGAACAGAGGATCAGGTGAACACAATCAGCCCAACGAGAATTAAACAAGGGGGCAAGACAAGAGGAGCACATAGCAACACAAACAAAGACAAAGTGCTTAAGCACAGGACAAAGAAAGAAACATTAAACAGTGACAAGACTGTCACGGCAGGACCCTGACATATAATAACAGTTCCTTACAAGACAGTATAAAAGCAATTAGCCTATAACTTAAGATATTTGACATTTTTGAAGTATACTCATTTTCTGTGGTGACTGAATACAGTATAAAGGAATTGAAGGGTGACCCTAAGGAGGAGGGCTGTAAAACACAGGACACACTGCATGATTTTCGACTGTCCTAGATGAAAGATTGTCATCGTGAAACAATTGTGGCGATTTCTGTGATCGTGGATTCTAAATGGTGGTCTTATGTCGTACAATGAGAGAGGTTCAAAAATGGCTGTTGTCACAGTCTTGTGACCAAAGATAGCCGTTGGAGCTGAACTTTGCAGGATAGTCGATCGCCAGGAGCAGGGTTGGGCACCCCTGGCCTATACGATCATTTTCTGATAGTGTCAGAAATTCAGCATGATCAGCGCACAGTGTGTTTCCTGCTACGACCCACGTTTACTGACCAGCCAATAACAGTGCAACATGAAATGGCGTGTTGTTCAGCGACATGGTGCTCAAATTTAAAACTGCTTACCTCAAAATATTTTCCCTTCCTCTTTTGCAGCTTCTTCTTTTTTTCAGCACACATAAAAAGTACAACTGCCAAACTGTGATTCGTCATGCTCTTTTTGTTTACCACTAGCACATGTCATCATCGTACAGACTGCATGCATGTCGTACCCAAGTTTATCAGATACATGTTGCACAGTGTGAATGTAATCTGTAATATTCTTATAAGATTGATGAAATCACACAGTTTGTAGAAGGCTTAAGAGACCTTTGAATATCAGAAAGATATGATAAAAAAAAAGTGTACGTGTGACACATTGCAGAATGTACATTAATTTAGAGAGCCCTCCTCCCATGCCGGAAACACTGGTTCAAATCCTGATCAGAGCAGAGTAGAACTGGAGGGGTAAGTATTCAGAAGATGGTAGAAAACAGTAGGAAGTTTAACTGCTCAGGACAAACAATGGAATCATGAACAACTATTACAAAACATAAAACAGTCATGGATCATCCAGGTTATGAGACACAATATTAAGAATCAAGTGTATATGTACACTTTTGAACTGATTGGTTTGTGTAAATTCAATAATTATTTTGCCTTTTGGACTATACGTATACATCTGTTTTATGAAATAGCTTATTCTGGGCAGTACGAAAAAAAAATCTATTTTTATAAACGCTTTTACATTTTTTTAAACTATTAATATTTTGCAGATTTTGCAAGGTGAACTGTTTTGTAGCTATAGGCCACAAGAGACCCAAGAAAGCAGTGCAAACTACTACATGGAAAAAAAAGAAAAAAAAACATAATACACAAAAAAAATATATATATATATATTATAACAATGTCAATGGAATAAGAACAACTGTTCAAAGGAATGCATCTTTTAAGATTTTTGAAAGTTAATTGTTTTTTTAAACAGCTTTTTTTTTAACCACACAGGAGACTGTAAAAGAAAGACAATGAGTTCAGCATCAAGGCAAAAGAAGAAAAAGAAGTAAGTGATTTTATTCACTGCATGTTTTATGTTTAAGCCAATTTAAAGGGTTAGTTCACCCAAAAATTAAAATTAGAAAATGACAAAGGCCTCCTGTAGCAAATCGATGCGTTTTTGTAAGAAAAATAACCATATTTAAAACGTAATAATCAATTTAATCTAGCTTGCGCCAACAGTTGTACACGGAAGCAGCTCCGGGCGGATGACGTATGAGTTCAGCTTTGCGCATGCGCCGCTCAGAAGTGACGAACACTGAAGCGCAGGGGAGAGATCAAAACAAAACAATGGTCACTTATTAGAAGTACAAAACGAGGATTTGTAAAGAAACTTTAAACCCTGTAAAGTCCTGTAAACAAACGTTGGTTTTCACGAGACTAACCGGCGCATGCGCAACGCCGACATCTTACGTTATCCTCCCGGAGCTGCTTCCGTGTACAACTGTTGGCGCAAGCTAGATTAAAGTGATTATTACGTTTTGAATATGGACATTTTTCTTACAAAAATACATCGATTCAATACAGGATGCCTTTGTTCACCCCCCAGAGCCGTGTGAGGCACTTTTTATTATGGATGGATGCACTTTATTTCACTTCTTTTGGACTGATGAACTGCAACACCCGCTGACTGCCATTAAACAAATTGGAAGATCAAAGACAATTTTAAATATAACTCTGATTGGATTCATCTGAAAGAAGGAAGTCATATACACCTAGGATGCCTTGAGGGTGAATAAATAATGGGCTAATTTTCATTTTTGGGTGAACTATCCGATTAAATAATATCTGATTAAAAGTGAACTGTTAGTAAAGTATGTAGGAGTTTATGAAAAATTCAGTAATAAGACTAATATATTTTACAAATAATCCCAAGCATACTAACAATTGACTTGCATTAATTAATCTAACTTTTTACTTTATCTGTTACACATTGAACCTTGAGTTTGATTTGTATGCATTTTTGTGCAGTTTGTGATAAACTTTACATTGTTCAATGTAGAAATAAATTTGGTGCTACGTCTCCACCATTCATTGATTACTTGAAAGAAATTTTGAGAAGGTACCCAGATGGGGGACAAATATTGAAGGTAGGTAAAAAATGTAAATAAAAAAATATTTACATATTGCATGAATCATTTTGCATCAAATGGTATGCACCTTATATATCATCTGTCAATAATAATTATCTAATAAAATATCAGGAGCTGATACAGAATGCAGATGATGCAGGAGCTTCAACTGTGGTGTTTATTCATGATGAGAGACATTATGAGACTCACAGCCTGTGGACTGAAGAGCTCAGAAAATATCAAGGTATTTTAAACAATGGGAGCAGATTTAAAGGATGGTCACACTAGAAACAAAATTATTTTAGAGCCTGCAGCAAAGGATATTACACTCTAAGGGTATTGCATTTGTTTGGGTACCTATCCTTCCTTATTCATGTTACAGCGATGAAGACGTTTTGCAGCTTATCTTCTGTTTGTAAATGGTTTTTTGAGTTCTTTAGTTAAGTTAATTACTTTTTATACTAAATCAAACTTTTAAAAACACTTTGCCATTAATAACTGAGATCTGTGCTTCACCTCTTTTGAAAAAAAAAAACCAGTCGCCACTGTTGTATCTCAAACTGTATCTCAGATATCCAAAACTAGGTCAAAATCACTGTTTAGTCCTAAATAAATAGGCTGCAAATAAGTGCACAAGAGTGCATACAGTATTGGAGACATGATTCATTTTTATCTGCTAGGACTAGTACTGAAATTCTTTACTATGCAAAAAACTAAATGTTAAAGTTTTTTGTTTGATCATTTTTGTATGACAATTTGGCTTTCAGAAAGCTACTTCTTTACTGAAACATTAAAACAGACATGACATTGACATACCTCACAAATTTTCATGTATGTGGAGGGCTGCTCTTTAAAGGGTTCGTTCACCAAAAAATTACAATTTATTCCAAACCCATACAAACTCTGCTAATTTTTGGAACACAAATAAATATATTTAATATTCTCTTAATTTTTGTCCTCTATTGCAAGTCTGGGAGAGCAGTATTTTCTTCTGAGCAGACATGTTCGCTATGGTATAATTTAAGATTGTGTCTCTGGCTTTCAACATCTACAAAAACAAACATTATTTTACTCTTAGCAAAAAAAAAAAAAGATAACATGATGGAATTATGAACTATACTTGCCTTAACCGTCTTTCCCTCTCTTCTGAAGAAGCTGAGAAAATTAACACGTAAATATGTTAATAACCCTTTCTTAACACCTCAAAAAATTTAAATATTGCAAAATCTTATGTAAATATGACATAAGACACTCACTGACGTTATATTAAAAGCACCTCTTCCGTTCAGTAAAAGATAAGACTATTTCTGAGGCAAAATCTGCGTCTGCATATTTTTCAATATAAGCTCTTTTCAGAATATTTCCACCTTCCATCTCAAGATACTACTGGACTCAAACAATGAATGATGACTTTACATTTTTAATCTTTACTTACCATAAACCGTCTTTCACTCGCACTCGCTTCCATCTGAAGACGCTGAGAAAATGGCGGCTTCTCGCACTGGTGTCGTCGAGATACGTCCGATGTTAACGTGTCGTGCGTGCTCTCTTTCACATCTGCGTTCCCAACCCAGCACCACTGGGTTACTGATCAAGACCAATTTTCAACCCAAAATTGGGTTAAAACAACCCAACGTCCTTACCCAGTGGTCTCAACCCAGCATTTGGGTTGAAAAAACAACCCAGCGTTTTTTAGAGTGTAACTTTATTAGGTATTTTAGTGCCTTCTGATTAGAAATCCTACAGTATGGCTTGTTGATTTATGAAGTGTTAACATCACAATATGTCAGTTAATATCTTTTTAAATTATATATCACATTATGCAACCTAAGCTACTAATATATTCAGCCTTCTAATGGTTAGCGTGCTTGCAGATTAGCTTGACGGAATGATGTGTTCACAGTAATATATTAAAAAAATTAATTTGCCTTTTGAATTCTACTATGCTGTTAAATTGTCAGAGGGTAGGCTATATGCTTATCAATATTATTAGGTATCACAACAGAAATACACTATGTTACAGATTAAAGTAACCTTGTATAATGGTCAGTCTATTATTAATAGTAAAATGTGATGCTGGACATTTTATTGTTCATGGTCATTTCCCATTTTTTACATTTAGATGTAATTTTCCATCATGTCTAACTCATCATCCAAGTTAATGACACTAAAAATAACATGCATTTAATAACACGATTAAATACAGTATTTAGCCAGTCCCCAAACTGTTTATTAGGTAACACTTTAGTATAGGGACCAATTCTAACTATCAAATAGTTGTTTATTAGCATGCCTATTATTAACATATTGACTGTTTATTAGTACATATAAAGCATTTATTGTACATGACCATATTCTACATCCCTAATCCTACCCAATACCTAAGCTTAACAACTACATTACTAACTATTAATAAGCAGCAAATTAGGAGTTTATTTATTAGTCGTAGTTTACGGTTTGTTAATAGTGAGAATTGAACCTTAAAATTAAGTGTGACCATTTATTATAATGTTGTTGTGATCCTTATAAAGTGCTAATTTCAAGATAAAAATAAATGTAATATCTCTATTGGCCAGAATTGGTGCATCCTGACAGTGTATTATCAACAATCTGATTGCATTTACCTGACTGACTGCAACATCAGTTTTAACAAATAACTGGCCATCAGGGTACTTTGGATGTTAGATTCTGACAGGGGCTTTAGCACAACACTAGTGACGCTAACAATTAAAAAAATATATTTGTATTGTTTTTTACAGACTTGCCATGTGTCGTCAGTTCTGAACACCTAGCCATTTTTGACCCACAAAAGAAGATGTTTGGAGAGGATGAAGAAGGCTATCGATGGTCTTTGAATGATGAAGAGGACAGAGAGAGTCTTTTGAAATTCAGAGATCAGTTTCAGCCCTTTCAAAATATTGTCAGTCAAGTCAACAGTTGTTCCTGGGAGAAGGTCATCAGTGAGGAGCAATACTTTAAAGGAACGCTCTTCCGTTTCCCTCTGCGTAATGAGGCTTCAGAGATCTCCGATAACTTGTATGACTCCAAAAAAGTTAATCAGCTATTTGACAGTTTCATTGCTGATGCGGACATCAGTCTTCTTTTCCTGAGAAATGTGTCATCCATTACTTTGCTGCATATTGACACCAATGGCCTCTGCAACAATAGGCTCAAAGTTTCAGTGTCAAATAAATTTATCACTGACCTTTCTTATATCAAGAAGGAATCGTTTGACAGAAAAACATGTTTTAAAACAGTATCACAGATTTGCCAGCAAATGGTAGAAACAAGGTCCCAGTGGCTTGTGACAACTTGCCTTCTGAAACAGGGACATATACCAGAGATTGACTCTCTAGCTAATAAGCTGAGCTTCTACCCTCAAGTTGATGCAGCGTTTCGATTAGATGAAGACAGATCACGTTGCAATGGGCGACTAAGTTGCTTTCTGCCACTTCCAAATAATGAACCAAACAAAACTGGGCTTCCCATTCATATCAATGCTTGCTTTGGCCTGACAGACAATCGGAGGTTCATCAAGTGGCAAGAGGAGGATCAGAAGAATGATGAGTCTGCAATGTGGAATGAGCTGCTCACAAAAGATATTCTTCCCCATGTATATCTCATGATGATCCGAGATGCAATTCAGTTATCTGAAAAATCAGCCCTGCCTTCTCCTACTGTCTACAATCTTTGGCCTGACCTATCGAAGACTGTACATAAAGAGAGGTGGCATAAAGTTGCAACAAATACTCTGAAAGGTCTATTTGAATACAAGATCTTTCACCTTGCTGATAATGAGCAAATCTGGGTGTCTCCCTCAGACGCAGTTTTTCCAGTAAACAATATACGTAGTGACACAATGTCTGCAGTGTCAAGATTATTGATTGCTAAAAGAGAGAACCTGGTCACAGTCCCAGAAAATGTTTTGAAAGATGTTCAAGAAATCTTCCCTGAAAGTGATACCTTGACATGGGTGACTCCATCTTATGTTAGAGATGTCCTTCGCAGAAGTGAGGCTGAAAATCTCAGTAAAGATGACAAATACTCTCTTCTTGAATTTGCTCTCAGTGATGAAAAGTACACAGAGCTACAAGGACTTAAGCTTCTTCCTCTCAGTGATGGAACCTTCACTTCATTTGGCAATGGAGTGCAGAAGACTGTTTTGATTGACAATGAGAAGTTTCCAAGGTAAAGTTTGAGTCTCTTTCCTACTTGAATTATTTAGTGTGTTTATATTGTGCTGTCAGAATAGTAATAATCTTTTTTTTTTCTTTATTTAGAACATTGCTGCCATTTTGTAAAGAGAGGTTTTTACCCAACGATCTGAGCCATTTTTGCACTGTGCAATTAAGGAAACTAGCAACAAGGAGTAAGAAAATAGTTTCATATATTTTATTGGGAATGCTTATAATAATATGAAATTAATGTTGTGTGTGTGTGTGTGTGTGTGTTTCAGGCATATACAACATAATCAATTTGGATGCACAACATGTTGTTGCACTCACAAAGCAGCACTTACCCATGGACTGGAAAGTGACCCAAGGTCATGTGACATGGAAAACAACAGAAGATCATCATCCACCAAAGAGCTGGCTGGCTGAATTCTGGAAGTTTCTTAGCGCTGAATGGAATGAGTTAAGCAGCTTTATTAACATGCCTTTAATACCACTGGAGCCACTGCAGAGTTCAGGCAATTCTATATTGTTAGCAAGGTTGCAAAGTAACACAACTTTGATCTTTCAGAGTAGCACAGGGTCCAACTTGTCAAATAATGTTCAGAAAGTGTTAAGGATGGTGGGATGTACAGTCATAAAAAGAGATGAGTGTCTTAGACACCATTACATTGAGAGTTATGTTCTTCCAGCTTCACCAAGAAATGTTCTACAAGTCATTGTGAACTCCAACAGAGATCAGGTCATCAAAGGCATTGCCTCTGCTTCATCACATGAAAGAGAGGAGTTGAAAGTGTACCTCTCTTCTTTGGATTCTCTCTCAGTTGCTGAACAGAACCTACTTTCATTGTTGCCAATCTTCAAAATGATGTCTGGGAAATATGTTGCAGTTAAATCAAAGCAAGCAGTTGTTTCAACCACCAATCCAGCCATTCCAAATGATCTGCCAATGCCTGACACCATTGTACAGTGTGCAAATGAAGCTGATCGCAGACTTTTGACTCTTCTGAATATTGAACTCTTGGATGCAGCTAAAGTGGCTGTTCATTTGGTTGACTGCATTAAGACAGGCTCTTTCAAAAATGGTGAGGAACAGACAATAATGACCTGGATTCTGAATAATGGTAGCATTCTACTCTCACAAAGTGAGCAGCTGTTCACAAAAACAAAAAGTCTCAATTTTATTGAGACAACTCAGGGAGAACGCAAACAAGCCTCAAGTGTTTTTGATCCAAGAAACAAGACATTCCAGGACCTTTTTGAAGGAGATTTCTTTCCCCCACCTATTTACACAAAGACCCAGGAAATGCTTCAGAGTTTGCAACGTCTTGGCTTAAAGACAGATCAAAAAGAACTATCAACAGCAAACATACTCCAAGTCATAAATCATATTGAAAAGCTTTGTGTCCACTCACCAGATAAGGCATTCAAAAAAGCACATACTCTTGTTCGAGTACTGAATGCGAAAGATTTCCTTTCCAAATTCACCAAGATGCAGATAGGAGAGTTGATGCAAAGGAAGTGGGTGCCTTGTGAAAATCCAGAGTTCTTGAATGGAAGCATCTGTAGAAATCTAAAGCGAGGTTTGTATAAGCCTGCTGAAGTAAGGGATTCAGTGTATTCTTCAATTGTTGGATATGTAATGCCACTTAGCTCTGAGCTAAACAAACATGTCTGCAACAGTCTTGGACTTTATGAGCCCCCTCCTGCTGAAAAAGTCTTGGAGAACCTCTCTGCACTGAGATCAATGGTAAACCCAAATTCAGATTTTCAGTTTAAAACCAAGCTGCACAGTATCTATAAATTCATGCAGGACAACATGAGAAATTTCAGAGATTTAATGGACACAAAATACCTCCCCTGGATCTGGAATAAAAGTGAGTTTGTCTGTCCAGGAGATATAGTTTTAGCCTATCCAGCTGGATTGGATCTAAGCCCTTACATCAAGAAAGTGCCTGAAGAGTTTTTGCGATATGAAAACTTGCTAACAAAATTGGGTGTGAAGAAAACACTGTCTGATGAGGAGATTGAAGGCATACTCCATGACATAAAACACAGAATTGACCACAGGTGTCCTCCTCATGGAGACTCGACAGAACTTGAAGTGGCAATTGCCATTCTTGACTGGATACGAAAGAATGAGAAGCTTTTAAAGGACAGCACACCTGTGCCTGTCATGGCACAAAACCAAAAATTTACTCTCCAGTCTTTGTCCAAAACAGTCTTCTGTGACATAAGTGCTGAAGCACTAGATGACCTGAAACAAGACGATGAGGAATTTTATGTCATTCATGAGGAAGTTAAACCCCTCACTGCAAGATGGTTGAAAGTCCCATTCTTAAGTACTCGCATCTTAAAACCACAGTTAATACAAGCAGAGCAAGAGTTATTTGGTATAGAACAATGTGGGCAATCTGAACCAATTACTCAAAGAATTAAGAACATTCTTAAAGAGTATGATGAAGAAAGTGACATTTTCAAAGAACTCCTACAAAATGCTGAGGATGCTGGGGCAACCACATGTAAATTCCTCCTTGACTTCCGAAAACACAGAGACCCCCCTGAAACCCTCATTGATGATGGAATGGCCTTCTGCAATGGACCATGCCTTTGGATCTTCAACAACGAGCTCTTTTCACAAGAAGACTGGAGAAACATTGTCAAAGTGGGATCAGCATCAAAGGAAAACAAAGTTAAGATGATTGGAAAGTTTGGGCTTGGATTTAATGCTGTTTACCATGTGAGTGATATTCCCTCAATTTTGAGTGGGAACAGCCTTCTCATACTTGATCCAAATATCACCCATTTGGAAAAGCACATACTCAGCAAAGGAAACCCTGGAATTAAACTCGACCCATTCCAGGAACGGCTGTACAAAAGGTTTCCTGGACAGTTTAAATCTTATGAAGGTATTTTTGATTGTGATCTGTCAGTGCAAAACAGCAAGAAATCCTATAATGGCACCTTGATTAAATTACCATTTTGCACTCTGGAGGAGGCAAACAAGTCAGAGATCAGTTCAAAGGTATATGACGAAGATCGCATTAGGAGTTTTAAAAATCATTTGACTGACAACTCACAAACTCACCTACTGTTTCTAAAAAGCATTACATCTCTGTCCCTTCAAATTGTCCCTGAAAATGCATCAACTCCTCTAATGAATGATCAGATTCAGACTCCTCTCAAAATATCCAGAAAAGTCATGAATTCTTTTGCTGTCTCGAATGATACATTTCTCCAAGAGATCAAGAGCACTTTCAGAAATACTGATATCACATGCCACAACATTATTGATGTCAACAGAGCACACATTGTTCAAATAGTTCAGGAGCATTCAGAGAGATCCCTCACCCAGTACTGGCTTTTGTACTCGTGTTTTGGAACACAGGATTCCTTGCAAATGTTCCAGAAAAGAAATGATCAAGAGCATGTGTTTTCATTTCCAATTGGAGGTATAGCTGTACCTTTGCATAGAGAGGCAAAAACTAATGCATGGTCTCCTGATGAAAGCCTCTTTGGCCAGGCTTTTTGTTTTCTTCCTCTCTCAATTGAGACAGGTCTTCCAGTTCATGTGAATGGGACTTTCGCAGTCACATCAAATAGGAAAGGCCTATGGGAAAAAGGAGTGAAGTCTGAGTGGAACAAAGCTTTACTTAAAGATGCTGTAACCTCTGCTTACATCACAACACTGCTTGAGCTGAAGAAAATGGCCCAAAATGGACACATCCAGAACTATTCCTTCTATGCATTCTGGCCTAATGCAGAGAGAGTAAGCAAAGCATTTTTACCCCTGGTTGAGTCTTTCTACTCAGCAGTTGCGCAGAATGGCAATGGCAAATCTCTGGATCTTTTTAGCAATGGACATAATTGGTGTTCTATGGACAAGGCAAGATTTCTGAATCCAAAAATTGAGAAGAACCAAGCAGTTGGAGACATTGCCATGAAAGTGTTCTTGAGCTTGGGAGCTTCATATTCCTGTGTTGTTTCTCTCCCAACATGGGTAAGAGACAGTTTCAATTATTGTGGCTTCAAGGAAATGATCAAACAGAAAACGATCAACTGGCCTGAGTTTTATAGCATTGTGTTTAAGAACTTGAGTGCTGTGAACACACATAACAGAAATGTGCTTGTTCTGAATGCCATCGACTTGAATGATCCTGCTGTTGATGATATACTGAAAAGTTACCCTTGCATTCCAACACAGAAATGTCAGAAGCTTCAATTTATCAAGCGACTTGTGAATCCTTCTGGCAAAGTGGCTTGTTTGTATGAACTTGAGGAAGGACGATTTCTTGAGGGAACTGCAAATAACTATCTCTCACCAAAAAGAATTCAACGACTTTCTGATTTGGGAATGCTCAGTGACCGCCTCCCTTTGGAAGACATAATAGAAAGAACAGGGAAGATATCCAGTGTTTGGCAACAGGATACATCTAAATGTCAAAAACATCTTAAGTGTCTCATAGAGTTAATGAAAGACTCCACAGAAGATGTAAATTCCTTGCTCTGGCACACACTGTCTCAAATACCATTCCTTCCTGCCTTATCTCCTCTAGATCAGAAAAACAAGAACAACACTGTTCTTAAAAAACCCTCTGAAGTGTACAGTAAAAGTTGTCGAAATTTAGTAAGCATGACAGAATTCACAGTTGATCATTCAAAACTTCAAATACATAGTTATGATTCAGTTCTCCAGAAATTGAGAGTACGGACAAATCCGCAAGTTGAGACGGTGCTTCAGCAGCTGTTAAAAGCACACCAATACTGCAATGGATTTGAAAAGACTGATGTCTTCAACATTGCTCAGTCTTGCTATGAATATCTCAACAATTACTTGTTGGAACAGAAAGATCCCAATCCAATTATTGGCCATGCAAAATCATTTCCATTCATTTTAATTGAGGATCACTTTGTAAATATGAAGGCAGTGGCCAGAAGTGAAGAATTTGAAAAGAAACCATATCTCTATGTACTTCCAGTCATCTTCTCCAAATTTGAGAGGCTCTGGGACTGCATTGGTGTCAAAAAACAATTCACAAAAGAGCAATTTGTTGCTGCACTTGAGGAAATGAAGGCTTTATATGGATCTCAGCCTCTTTCCACTTCAGACCTCCATAACTGTGTTGCAATACTCGTGAATGGGCTGTACAAAATTAAAGAAGAAAAGCTTACAAACTGTCTCATACCTGATGAGAGAAGGGTGCTGACATCTTCTAAAGAGCTGAGATATAATGACAGCCCATGGATGCCTGTCTCAGCTGGTGTCAAGCTCTCCCATGAGCTGATACCTCGGACTGTGGCCTGTCATTTTGGAGTAATGACAACAAGACACCATACTCTGAAGAATCATTTGGTCAGTGGGTTTTCAATCCATGCCAAGGAGTTTGGACAAACCGAGAAACTAACTGTCAGAATAAAAAATATAATTGATGCATATCCATCTAAAAAGGATATTCTGAAAGAGCTCATTCAAAATGCTGATGATGCAGAGGCAACAGAAATTCACTTTGTGTGGGACAAAAGACAACATGAAACAAAAAAGATATTTGGAAAGAAATGGGAACTGGCTCAAGGCCCGGCACTTTGTGTGTACAACAACAGAACATTTACTGATGCTGATCTGCAAGGTATTCAGCAGCTGGGGGAAGGAGGAAAACATGGAAGTTTAGGAAGAACTGGGAAATATGGACTTGGCTTCAATTCAGTGTATCATTTAACAGACTGTCCATCTATCCTGACCGGTGACAAATGGCTCTGCATTTCTGATCCAAATCTAAAATACGTGGAAGGTGTAACAAAACAGTTCCCAGGCTGCAAGTTTTCAATGCAAGACGAATTTAAAAAGTCTTTTGAGGATGTTTATCATACCTTTCTTCCAAAAATGTTTGCACTCAATTCTGGAACCATGTTCAGGCTCCCTCTCAGAACAGAGAAAATGGCAGAAAAATCTGAAATATCTAGACATACAGTCACAGATCGTGACATGAATGAACTTTACTGTGCCTTGACTGAAGATCCTGAAGGACTAATTCTCTTCTTGAAACACATCACAAAAATACAGTTCTCAGAAATCAGTGAAGATGGAAAACAACCAAAATGTTATTTCCTTATTGAGAAGAAATACACAGAGAAGAGCATGGTAAGCAAGGAAAACTTTCACAGACATGTTCAAGATTCCCTCATGTTAAGAACAGCAGAACCATCCAAAACCATCTATGGCATGCAAATCTCATCTGGAAATATACAAAGTCAGTGGGTCATTGCAGAGTGCTTTGGCTTTTCAGAACCAAACTATGAGCAAAAAAACAAGCAGGATTATTTCAAAGTTCCTCAAGCTGCTCTGGCTGCATGTTGGAGCAGCTCATTTAACCACACATTTACTGGTAGGGCATTTTGTTCTTTGCCTTTACCTGGACAAACTGGTTTACCAGTCCACGTGAATGCAAATTTTGAAGTAGATTCTTCTAGAAGGGACTTGTGGAAAGAGGATGGTGATAGTGTGAAGACTGAGTGGAACCAGTTACTGAAAAAAAACATTATTTCACCACTCTATGCTGACCTCCTGTTACGTCTTTGTTCAGCCATGAAGAAAGATACACCTACTGCTCTTGTATTCCTGAAGACAGAGCTTGAGTCTTCTTGCCTTAAATACTTTCCATGCATTTCCCAAGAAGTAGACAAAGTCTGGCATGAGATGATTCATGAGGTCTATAGATCAATCAACCAACGTGACCTTCTTGCCATACCCACGGCACACTCGGTTCCTGTTGAGTCATCACATCTTTTACAAGATGCAAAAATGCACAAATACACAGTTACCTGGTGCAGTGTGTCTGAACCACATTCAGAAAATTGTCCATATTTTACAACTGAGGAGCATGATGGAATTTTCAAAATTTTAGATGACACTGGGATGAAATTAGTGCCACACTCTTGGAAAATGCATGAAATAAAAGACAACTTCAAATTGGCTGGTGTGAATGTGGCAGAAATCAGTCCTTCAACAGTGATGAATTTCTTGAAGCAAAGATCACTGAATGATCCTTCCCAGACAACTAGTAGTTTGCCTTTGCCCATCAACCAGACCCTGATCAAAAACAAAACAAGATGCTCAAAACTTCTGAGCTTCTGCTTGAAAAATGTCAATGAAAAAAATGTCCATGACCTCAGTGGGCTTCCTCTTCTCCTCACAGAAGATCAGATGTTAAGAGTCTTTGATTCTAAATCCCCAAAGCTGATATCAAGATTTAGCAGTCTTTTCCAAGGACATCAGGAGATGTTTGCAGATGTGGTTGTCAACAGAACTCATGTCCAAATTCTGCATGACGGAAAGTTTATTACGGGCATAACAATTGACATAGCAGCAACATATTTGAAACCAGAAATCAGTATACTGCTCAGGCAGTCATTACCCGATCAAAGGTGTCAGCTCTACAAAGCAGATACAGATACAATCAAATGGCTGAAAACATTGTGGACTTTCTTTGATGATCAAGAGAAAAGCTACCAAAATGGAAAACTGAATGTCTTCAGTGAGATAAAAAAGCACTTTGACGACAGCCCTATCTTACCAGTAATCTGCCCCAGTCAAAATAACACACGTTTCTTACAAACAATGAAGAACATATCAAAAGTGATTCAGTATGAAAATGAAAAAGTAGCATCCATTCTCATAAAACTGGGGTTCATGAAAATAGACCTTGTCTTTTTCACTGATCTCAGTCTTGAGTTCCGTCTCAATATGAATCCAGAACTCCTGCAAACAGGAGACAGCAGTGCTGTTTTGGGGCAGGTTTATCATGTAGCACATTCACAGTTTGAGGAGCTATCAAAAGAGGAATGTGTTGATCTTCAGAGCTTCTTACAACATGGGATCAGAGATTCCAATAACAAGAGTCAACATGTGTCGATGCTCAAGTCCTTGCCCCTGTTTGAGTCAATATCTGGAAAACGGGAAAGGATTGATTTACACAGAATGGTATTCATTCTGAATTCTAAGCATCAGAATGACTTTCCAAATTTGTACCATGTCGATGGATGTGACAGTATCTTCCTGAAGCACACCTGGGTGAACTTAGAATTGGCAGAATGTCTAAAAATTCAGATTCTGAATGATTTGGAGTTCTGTGTACAGTTTATTCTTCCCTCTGTGCACATGATGAAAGAGGACAAGCTTCTTGATTTACTGCGGTTGTTAGTGGAACTTGGAAAAGTGGATCACAGGATTGTTTCTGCATTGAAAGAGGTCAGATTTATTCGAGACATCCAAGGCTCTCTTCAGGTGGCTTCATACTTCTATGATGACAGTGTACACCTTTACAGCGAAATGCTTCCAAAAGAGAGATTTGTGCCAGAAACGTTTTGGAAGATTTTCCAAGGTAAACGTACTGAAGCACTTCATCTCTTAAAGGACCTTGGATTGAAACATGAAGTGTCTGATGAGGAAATCATTCAGTTTGCAAAACAAATTGAATCTGAAACTAGAGGCAACATTCCTTTAGGTGTTCTTAAAAAAAGATCACAACTCCTGTTTAAGACTGTTTTATCAAAGAGTAATGATAAAAAGTCTGATTTACTGAGCAGAGTTGCTAACATTAAATTCATCTTCCCAGTGCAAATTCAGCAAGAGCTTTGTGATTATCACAAGGCCTTTGCTCAAGACAGGGAGGTTGTTGCAATCAGTGGATCACTTATTGGCAGAGACAGTGAACACCAATATCTGACATGGACATCTATGCCAATCCTGCCCTTAGAATACTGCTCTCCACATCACATGAAGAAAATGAAGGATGCTGGAGCCTTGGAAACTCCACCCCCTGGAAAAATAGCTGCTAATCTGAAAAACATCTGTAGGTCTCCATGCCACACAGACAAGTTGGAGACAAGAAAAAACGTATTTAGCAAATCATACGCCTACCTACAATCAATAAATTTTGACGCCTCTCTGTTCTCAGACCTCCCCATTATTTTGGTGGAAAATGAGACGACACTTGTGAAGGCCAAACAGACAGCACTTGTGCTACATGATGCTCTTGAGTTTAGGCCTTACTTGTACAACATTCCCTCAAAGTATATGAAATTTGAAGACTTCTTCAAAAAAATTGGTGTAGAGGAAAGGCCTACCATAGAACAATATAGCACTGTTCTTCAAGAAATCTATTCTGATAGCTCTGACAAAGACAGCCTTCAAGCAAATCAGCAGAAAACTGTGACGCGTGTTGTACAACAGCTGTTTTGCCTGTTGAAAAAGGAACAGAACAAAACTCTTTTTTTCCCAAACAACCAACTTTATCTCCCATCAACAGATGGGAAAATCTATGATTCCTGCACTTTGTTTTTCAATGACACCTTCTTTCAGGCTGCAAGACTCGAGGGACCTTTGGAAACCAAGCTGAAACTGCTAGAAAAATTTAATTGTTGTCATCTTGGAAATGATCACTATGAACATCAAACATTGTTGCAGTTCCTTCCTGAGCATGTTCGCCCCAAATTTCTCTCGGATGTAATTTCTGAAAACCTGGAGGGAACAAGTGTCCAATATTGTGAATATGAAGGGGAGTGTGAATTTGGTGGCTGGTTTGACAAGCACTTGTCTTCTGCTGCATTTCTTTATGGACTAGTCTGTCTAATCAGAGAAGAGAGCAAAGGCAGTGTTTCACAGTCTGATGCTGCAGAAAAGTGCGAAGAAATCTTTTCTAAAATTAAAATTATCTGTTGCAAAACTCTTCAAACTGAGCTTCTGTTAAACCTGGAGCCACTTGAGGGTAGTAAGGCTGAAACAGATGTTTATGTGAAAAAAAAGCAAAATGGATGCAGTTTCTACTTAAAACACAATGATGACATGGCACACAAAGTAGTAAATGAAGTTAATATGTGTCTTACTAAAGAAATCAATGCTCTTCTAAAGAACTGTCTGACCACCTCAAGCCTTCTAGTCCTTGGACAACTTTTGCTGTGTGACAACATGGAGGATGTTGAGAAAACCTTAGCAAAATATGGCATTCATAGCAGTGGCCACAAGGAGGAAGGACACGGTTCCTTACCGAAATCTGGATGTCATATACCTGAAGAATGGCATGACTGCCTTGATATGAACTTCCTCAACAACTTTGAAAGTGGAGAGTATGTTGGCTTCAGCAAGGACGATTCCAGTGAATATTTCTACGCCATTGTTATCGAGCGAGTGGAGCAAGCAAGACAATTTCCTGCCAGATATAAAATTCAAGTTGGCAATGATGACTTCATTGAAGTAAGCTCTCTTGACCTTTACCAATTTAAAAGGGAAAAGAAGGCAACTATGTCGAAAGGGTCCACTTGCACAGATATAGAACGTCTTTTGACATCTAGACCTCCACCCAAAACAGTCTTTCCTGAGACATTAGAAGAGATCAAAAGAGAAATTGACCAAAGCTTAAACGAAATCTGGAAAATGACAAGCGAGGACAAGCAAAAAGCCCTTAAACGTCTCTACCTCCGCTGGCATCCAGACAAGAACCCTGGCAAAGAAGCACTTGCCACAGAGGCGTTTAAATACCTGCAAAACAGAATTGATGAACTACAACAAGGGAAAACTGCACAGAACACATCCTCAAATTGGAGAGACTTTCGAGATTTCTATGATACGTGGAACACAGAGGCCCGAAGCCACAGGAGGGGACGCGAGAGGTTTTATCAGAACTATTCTAGAAGGCACTATAACTTCTGGTCATACCACAGAGAAACTCCAAGGCCAAACAGAGGGGAGGCAAAACGCTGGTATGAACAGGCTCAATGTGACATCAGAGCAGCTCACAATGACACTGGAGGAGAAAGCTCAGAGTGGTGTCTGTTTAAAGTGCATCAGGCTGTGGAAAAAGCCCTGATAGCAGCAATGTACAGGGGAAGTGGACACCATCTCAACAACTGCTCAATAACTAGCCTTGCTCAACAGGTGTCCCATTTCAGCTCACAGTTGGCTTCTTTACCAAGCACTGTGAGGCAACTGACTGAACTTGGTGTTGATGGCAAAAAAACTCAATATCCAAACTATCACCAATTTCCTCACATTCCAAACAAGCAATTTGGTGTTAATAATGCCAGAATGGCATTGGATATTACAACAAAGCTTTTAAAAAAAATAGAAGACTATGTCTCTTGAAATATGTTGAAACTATACTGACTAATGTTCCATATCTGTATCTGTTTAGTACTGCTAGCATGCATACTAGAAATTCTTAAACCTTTATTATCATGTTTTCATAATTGTCAGTCTAGTTATCCTTTTGCTTAATATTAAATGCAACATTTTTATTATTCGATACTGGACATTTCTTGTAGCAAACAGTAGAGCATGGCATTAGCAGTGCCAGGGTCATTGGTTCAATTCCCAGGGATTGAATGAAATAAAATGTTTACCTTAAATGCAATGTAAGTTTCTTTGGATAAAATTGTCTGCAAGATGTGCATTAAACATCACTTTAGAATTAAACATTTTCAATGTCAGTCATTTAAATGCATGGTTTTTATTAAGAAATATTAACAGAAGTCAAAAGGTGTTTCAACCAAATATTCACTAAATGACAAAACTGCAAAAATCGAACACATCGAAAACAGTCACACAACCATCCTGCGATACAGATGCTGTATGTGCGTTACAATCCTTGCAGCAAAACCACTTCTTGAGCCTACTGCAATATAAAATATTACATGAATAGTGTCTCATGTTGTTCCCCTTTCTGTTTGATCAAGAAATGAAGCTTCAATTTGAGCAGCATCTGGTTTCCTCCATGCCACTGCAAAAACCATGCCAAAAGTATTTGTCGTTTTCTGCTGTCCCAATAATAACTTATTACACAAATGCTGTACATAATTACAGCAGGCGTAATGCCTGTCCTTTACGTAATGAACACAATAAAAGAAAGCAAGCATTGTTAGAAGTGGTCTTTACAGTGCTGGGCAATGCGGTGTACAGTGCGTCTGAAAAATACAAGCAAATATCACACTTTAACACGGTAATGAAAAGAAGAATAAAAGCCCTCACCTGCAGTGGTCATTTTTTCCTGAAATAACGATCCCATCTGTTTGGTATGTTTTAATGAATTAATGAAAAATGCTACTTTCTTTTTAATCAGTAATATGTAGGAGACTAAAAATGTCACCTTCATACATTCATCTGCAGGAATATAAGATAATCCAGTCGTGAATGGTGATGTCATACTGTAAAAAATTGCTCAAACCTGAAATGTTGTACATAATGTAAATTTGAGCAGAAATATATTTCAGACTGGGACTTGGTTACCTGAATAAGACTCGTCATCTATTCACTGTTATTACACTGATTCCTGTCCTGCACAGTCTAAAAGCTAACACATGAATGAAACATTTTAATAAAGAATGGGGGGAAAATTAAATACAAATAACAAGCAGTCCACAGGCATATGGAAAATATTTAAGGCCCATGTTGAAACACTAGCTGGGAATGCATAAGCTTGTGAATTTATGGAGCAGCATTTCCACAGTACATCTTCAGTACTGCTTTCTTGCAAACAAACACTCAGATATCCATTTCCTTATTGCCATTTGGTCTCCAGATAAAACATTTATCAAAGATTTGCATGTTGATGTAAAGAGAGAACAAACCAAACAAAAATGGATCCTGTTTTTGACATCAGGCACTCCTCCTCACACACAGGGAACATTCAACACGCATGTGTCGTATGTGCAGAACAGGTGTGCTTGAATAAAAACTGAACTCATAATTGTCACACAAGAAAACAGGAGATGAAATCAAGTCATTTGCCCTGACCACTGAATCAGAGTTTTATTTGCAAGGCATTCTGACAGTTTGATATAAAAAATAAACTGCATAGCTCCATCAAGGACTCTTCATGTTTGCGGAGGAAGAGGCAAGCCTGTCCGAACATCCCCCAACGCTTCCATTGTAAATTTGCATATGCAGATTTTTCTGGCATTTGGTTCCTCCTCCATGTTACACATTCTCACATGTTGTAGGCCACATATATAGGGTCTAGCTGGTCAGCGAGGAAGCCGTCCCGCAAGTGCATGCGCTGCTTCTCCCCTCTGGAGTTGATAGGAATGACTCCAGGGTCCACCACCACAACGACCCCCACTATGAGATAGTGCTCTTCCAGAACCACGTTGGTCACCAGGGCAACAAGATCCAGAGCTTCCTGTTCTGACCCCTCAAGCTCCACGACCACCACCAAGAGATTCGTCCAAGTGAACACAGCACTGAGGAGAGGGCGAGAGAGAGTGAGAAGATGAAAGCTGTATTTAATTACGAAAAGCAGAATATCTACACTGCAAAACATGGCTGTCGGGAAAAGCAAATCAAACACAAACTGGAACAAAATGAAACATCTTATAGAGCAAGATATTCATACGGAAAACACAGTCTTCAGGAAGTCTTAAAGGAATGCTTCCAGTTAAATGAAACTTGGTCGACAGCATTCGTGGCATGCAGTCAATTATCACAGAAAATGTTGTTGACTTCTTCTTTTCACAACAGTTCCTCTTTATAATGTTAGCTGACTACATTTTAGTTGAGTATGATAATGAGCAGACCAGTCCTTGTGAAAAAGAAGTGCACTTAACTGTATTGATGTGCACTTGTAGTGTACTTCAAATCTGAAAAGTTTATTTATAAAAAAAAAAAAAACTGTACATGCAGATATAATATTAAGGAAATAGTCGCTTTATACTTAAAGAGAGCACACTTTCATGACTGTTTCTTAACACACTTAAGTGCACATTTAAAAAGTGCCCTTTGTAATAATGTCAAATTAAAAGTTTTACTTTTGATGTGTTGACTAACATACTAAAGCACATACAGAGTACTTGTTTTAACTGTAGTGTGTTATTCAGTACTACATTTAAAGTTAATACATTTTAAATATACTATACTGAACTTCTTCATTACAAATGTGTAAGTAATATATTTAAATACATTAAATACAAGTTTCGGTTACACTTTATTTTAAGGTGTCCTTGTTACAGTGTAATTATACATAAGTACTGAGTAATATTAATTAACTACATGTACTTACTGTATGGTTAGGGTTTGGCTTAGGGTTACTTGCATGTAATTATCCATAATTAACTGTTATTATAATAGTAAGTACATGTAACGTGTGTAACAAGGACACCTTAAAATAAAGTGTTACCCAAGTTTCAATAGAAATGACAATGAAGTATATTTTAGCTTACCATAATTGTTTGTCAGTACATTCAACAGCACACTTTAACCATATTTCAAAGACAACAGAGGTCATTCTGAAATTATTATTATTATTATTAATTATTATTATAAATGTAAACTATAATATATTTTCATTTAATTGCAATTAACATGTAATTAAGTGTCCAAAAACATTACATTCAGTTCGCACTAAGTATAAGCTATTTTTTTTAAATATATATTTAGTTATCAATGCTAGAGCTGGCCCAATTGTGTGTAGGTGTGTTTGACTGGTCAACAATAATTATAGTCATGTAGTCATTGTCTTGGAACGTTCAGATCACAAAAATACCACAACTTCCTGTATGTTCCAGGAAATAAGGTAACCGACAGCATGCCACAGATGGTGTAGATTCTTATTGTGTCTTTAACTCAAGATTTCCTTTAATACTTCTGGAAATTTTGGAAATTAAACAATGTCTAAATGTTTTCAAAGATTCTGATTAAGAATAGTAATTTTAAGCTGGTGTCATGGATGCACTGAACAATGAAAATGATCAAATGTTCAGTTGTTATAAACAGTTAAAAGGAGAGTTTATATTACAGTTGAGTAAAGATTTAAATAAAACGTTTATCCATTAAAATCTGCTTCTGTGAGGTACAAGGAAAACATTTACAAAATATTGCTTACCACTCTGCAATGCTCTTGTGTGACCTTATGACAGATGTTTCAATATCGATGGGATGGTAACGCATTCCCCGAAGCTCCAGAGTCTCATCTAGAGAACCAACCACGTACAAGGCATCATGCCGCTCTAGAATCATGTGCAAAAACATAATTGATTCATTAGACAGCACAACTGTTCTTTTTCTTGTTATGTTTGATATGAATACACAGCAAAAAAATGTATAGACAAATACTACAACTAAATACTAAATTCAGTTATTAGCTTGACAGGGTGTTCATTGAAACAGCTTTTTATTGAACGTGATTTTAAATTGAAAAGTCGTCTCAGAAATATCTTGAAATGGGACACTAGTGTGTTTGGTTTTCATCTCATGCATACAGTACCTCCACTGGCATCTGTAAGTTCTGTGCGACGCAGGAAGCCAAGATATCCAGTGCGAGCCCAAACCGTCTGGGTGTCACCGAAGCTCAGTCTGGTGCTGAAGTGGTCAGCATGCAACGCCTCTTCCCCATAAACCGTATAGTATCCTGTGGCATTATGGGGGCTGCTCACCCAAATCTGTTTTTAAATACAGTCCCATCAACTCACTACACATGATAATATAAAATGCAGAGATAATTTACCAGGCTCTGCTGGTAACACTACTTATTTTGGAGGTCAGATGTGGTTTATAACACTCGCTTTCATATTTGAAACTCACTTCTCCCAGATGAGAATCTCCTAGAGGGCCTTTGGTCTCTGTGTTGGCAATTATAACCTTTACCCCTGGAAGAATCTGTGTGTTGAGAAATATAATAAATATAAAATAAAAAAAAAATTTATTACATTTTTGTTAGTCAAAAGTTTGGATTAATTAAGATTTTTTTAATGATTTTGAAAGAAGTCACTTATGTCCACCAAGGCTGCATTTATTTGATCAAAACAACAGTAAAACAGTAATATTGTGAACTATTATTACAATTTACAGAAACTGTTTTCTGTTTTAATGTATTTTTTAAATGTAATTTATTCTTGTGATGCAAAGCTGAATTTTCAGCATCACTGCTCCAGTCTTCAGTGTCACATGATCCTTCAGAAATCATTCTAATATACTGATTTGCTGCTCAAGAAACATTTCTGATTATTATCAGTATTGAAAACAGTGTGCTCTGCGTAATATACAGTATTTGTGGAAACAGTGACACACTACAATTCAAGTAAAATAAAAAATAAATACTTTTATTCAGCAAGAATGCATCACATTTATCAAAAGTGACAGTAAAGATATTAATTAATTTTACAAAGATTTCTATTTCAAATAAATGCTGTTCCTTTGAACTTTCTATTCATGAAAGAATAAAAAAATGTAGAAAATATAGCAGCAAAAACTGTTTTCAACATTGATAATAACCATTATTAATAACTGAGCACCAATTATAATCGATAACAAATATTGGAGTGATTTCTGAAGGATTATGGTACACTGAAAACTAATGGCAAGAGTAATGGCACAGGAATAAATTACATTTTAAAATATATTCAAATAGAAAACCGTTATTTTTGATTGTAATAATATTTCATAATATTACTGTTTTTATTGTATGTTCCATCAAATAAGTGCAGCCTTGGTGAGAATAACAGACTTTTCTTTCAAAAACATCAAAGAAAATCGTAATTATTCCAATCTTTTGACCAGTAGTGTATTTATTATTTATGAAATATGTATATATATCTCACCTTCCCAGATTCCATGAGTGGCAGACTGTGCGGTGAGCCTCTCTCGACTAATCGAACCCTGAGCAATGAGAAAAAAACAGATCAGATATAACTGAACTTTTCTAATTAAAAGACAAACATGATTTACATATTAGTTAATAAATAATTGAATATGAATTGACACTGGTATATGCAGTATATGCATCATGAAAATCAGAAGTGTTTGATATAGCACCTGTCATGCCGCAGGGCCCTCATGTCTAGATATACTGTGGTGGGATCCGGCCCAGCGGTGCCCTAGAAACAAAGAACAGTATGTAATATATCTGCCACCACAGATTCTGTGTTCATACTGCTGATCCACCTTTAGGCACTAACACATGTACTGTGTTAACATCTACCGGCGGTGACACTATATGTGATGACATGATATAAGACCTTCTCAGAAAGATTATCAAAGTGAACATGGATTCTTAAAGGCAAAGTGTGTCATTTTTTTTTTTTTTTTTGCTATACTTTCTTAATATGCTGAGACAACTATAAGCCATTTGCATGTTAGGCTAGTAGCTCTGTGGTGCTATCAAGGCAAGCTCTTTTGTTTGTTTGACCAGTCTGAGTTTCTGTTCGTCTGACAAATGCCAGATTGGGGCAACCTGTTTGAAAACAGTCAATATATTTTCACCAAAATGTAGAAATGACACACTTTACCTTCAAAACAGACAGAAGTAATAGAGATTATGTTATAAATTTCTTCAAAGTGATAATTCACCCCAAAATGAAAATTCTGTCATCATTTACTCAGCCTGATGTCATTCCAAACCTGTATTACTGCTTTTTATGAACAGTTTCGGTTCCCATTGACCTCCATTGTATGGACTAGTGTTGTCACGGTACCAAAATTTCAGTATTTGGTACCAATACCAGTGAAAATCCACGGTTCTCTGTACCAACTTCGGTACCAAAGCAAAACACAAAAACATGCTAATTAAAAACTTTGACTATACTTTAATTTAATCAAAACTGTGTACATATTTAACTTCTATAAAAACACCCGCACCGGGTTTCGACTTTGACACGTGCAGTGCTCATGTTTATTCAACGAAGTCAAAACCTTTTGGAAAATCTATTTGTGGCTATTTTTGATATTGTGGCGGGCAGCCACTAATAAATCAATGTATGGGAAACACTGAGAAGATCTAAATATAAAAAATTAAAATGAAACTTACCTGCTTGAACTCTTTCATTTGATCTGGGTGTCTGTCTTTAAAGTGTTTTGTTAGTCTGGTGTGTTTCCTCATTTTGAGGTCACCATGTCTCAGTGCTTTTATGAAGAGAGCGCATCTGCGCACCTTTCGGATAGTGCATCAAGAACCAGGGTTGACCGGGTACTCGGTACCACCGGTACTTAAAAAAACCTGGTACCGTAACGTTTTCAATTTTTTAGTACCGACTTGGTACCGAAGTACCGGGTCTTTTGACAACACTAGTATGGACAAAACTGAAACTATTTGGTTACCAACATTCTTCAAAATATCTTCTATTATGTTCCACAGAAGAAGAAAAAAAGTCATACAGGTTTGGAATGGTATGAGGGTGATGACAGTATTTTCATTTTTGGGTGAACTATCCCTTTAAATATATATTTTTTCCTTTAACGTACATCAGACACCATAAAAACTTTTTTCCCCCTTAGTTCTTGTAAAACATCTTACTCTTACTGTAAAGCATTACAGGACAGAATGAGGCATTACAGCAGTTACAATGGCCTGGCTCATGAATGTAACCCCTGTACTGCAAACACAGCTCGTACAGTATATAAGCGAGTCTACTCTATATGCACAGCTACAAGCATTGCATTGCCACAGCCTAGAGTAGATTTACAGCAAGTGCAGGGCCAAGCACGAAAGCTGTGAAGAGCAGAGTAGGCATATGTATACATGTGTCAGAGTAAATGAGACACTGTCACTATGAATAATATTAAATAGCAAAACTCTGTTAAAAAACAAAATAAAAAATAAATAAATAATAAACATTGTGCCAGGGCAACCTGTCACAGTCCCTGTGCTGCAGTCCCACCTGCAAAATCTGTATTTAATATATGAGAATCTTTGAATGTGATTAGCTGTGTGCGAATATATAATATATTATACACTACTGTTAAAAAGTTTAGGGTCAGTAAGATTTTTTTCTTTTCTTTTTTAAAGTAATACTTTTGAGCATAACCTCGTCAAAAAGATATTTACAATTCCACAAAAGATTTATATTACAAATAAATGCAGTATATTGAACTTCCTATTACTTTATATTACTCAAAAATACTGGAAAAAAAAATATCATGGTTTCCACAAAAATATTAAGAAGCTCAACTATTTTCAACATAGTTAATAACAGTAAATGTTTCTTGAGCAGCAAATCAGCATATTAGAATGATTTCTGAAGGATCATGTGACACTGAAGACTGGAGTAATGATGCTGAAAATTCAGCTTTGATAACAGAAATAAATTACATTTTAAAATATATTCAAATAGAAAAAAAAGTTGAAATAATATTTCACAATAATCTTCAAAATACTGTTGAGCATAAGAGACTTCTTTCAAAAACATGAAAAAAAATCTTACCAACCTCATACCTTTGAATGGTAGTGTGTGTGTTATGGCCAAAATAATATTAATACTCATATTCATTTTATTAATACTTAGTCAATATTAATCTAGAGTGGTCCCAAAAACTATATGGATATTAAAGTCACATTTCATAAAAAGAAGCTTGCAATTTCGTTAGAAAGAGTTGGACCACAATAATATAAATTATATGTTGATTTTCTGTAATCTTTCAGATCTAATTAAGGTCATTTTAAATAATTAATATAACAACATAAACGGTTGAATACTTAAACATTTTGTGTATCATGCTATGATACCACCTAAGCATACAATTATAT